GTTGCCAGAACTTCACCGTAAAAAGCAACATTTTAGGTTTTACAGACTTAACTTAAATTCACAATAAAATACCGTATTTCATTTACTGATGTAATGTTAATAAACCAACATATTGAAGTGTTAATATATGTTTTGAACCATTGTAATGCACTGATAACCACCAAAAACTGGTGGTGATGAGAAAGTCACATGATGAACCAAAGCTCATCACAAACAGCTTTTCTACGAGCTAAGGAGGGCAATTATTTTATATAGAAGGTGAATTATACAATTACTTTTTCTTTTTCACTTCCAAAAACTTTACTGTAAAATTACATTAAATGTAATTACATTTATTCACCGAATATAGTATGGAAACTTACTGTTAACCAGTTAACAGGTTTTTTACTGTAGCATTTTTACAGTCTTTTACTGTTAAAATCACAATCATTTTTTACAGTGTACTATTCAAAGTTTAAGGTCAGTAAGATTTTACTTTTTTTATGTTTCTTTATTTGATCAATTACTCAAGTAAAAACAGGTAATATTGTGAAATATTTTGACCATTTAAAATTTATAGTTTGTAGTTTTTGTGACAACTGTGATACGTGTGGCATGATAATATGTGATTTTTCAGGATTACCAGATAAAAAGAAAGTTCAAAAGAACAGCATAAATGTCTGTAGAATAAAAGAATAAGAAAACAGACGGATACCAAACTTGTATAAAAAACATGAACAAAAAATACAGCGATACAAATTTCTCTGTCTGGCTGTGGAACCAATAGCATGTTTAAGTTATTTCTATTGGCGAACAGCCTTCACGAAAAAGAGAAGTCGTATTTTTAGCATATGAGACATTTACACATGAATTAGTGACTTAGTGAGTGTACAACAGTCAAGAAAATGATTGTTTTTCTTATTGTTATCTCATCAAATATACGTGTAACAAGTAAGTACAAATAAGTTTTCATTCAGCAGTGCAATATTATAAAATATTGTTTACTATATTTCAAACCTGTGCAGTTGAAAAAATAGTATCAAGTATTTTTTTGTTGTGCTTTACTTGTCTTCTTCCAATTCTTTTCTTATTTTATGCATAACTCTAGCAAAATTTAGAGATTTATTGTCTACAAAGGTACTTTACAAAGTACTTTAAATGTATTTCATTTTAAGGATGTTCAAATTTCTGACTGGAAAAACAGATAAAAATATAGTTTTTTTTAATGCTATAATAAATATACTGTTCTATTTATTGTTGTGTTTCTTGTGCTGTATTTGGAAAAAATACACCTTTTCTTTCTCTGTTATCATTCACTTAATATTATTTGATTCGTTTAATGATCCATTGTGAAAGCAGTCTATATGAAAGAATCTGGAAAAATGTGAAAACAAATAATTTGGTGCCTTATGAATGATAAAACTCACAAGTGTTGAAACTTCTCTCTGTTTATGTGCTGTAGCCTGCAGCGAATCATCAAAACTGGTGGTTGGACATGTTGGGGATACAGTTACTCTTCCCTGCAAATATGACATTATCACTAATGGCCTATTGAACGTTTGCTGGGGGAGACATCAGTCATGGTTCAGCTGTGAGAACACTGTTATCTCCTCCGATGGCTTGCAAGTGACCTACAGAGAGTCACGTAGATTCAGCTTGGCCAGTGGACTGGAGCGAGGGGATGTTTCACTTACCATAAAGGCTGCTCAAAAGAGGGATGCTGGGATGTACGTGTGCCGTATCGAGATCCCTGGACTTTTCAATGACATTAGTTACAATGTCTATCTGTTTATTAGCAATGGTAAGTAACCGCTCGGTTTGATATCAATGTTGTTGTGCTGACACTGTGATGATGTACAATACTCCTGTTCTTCCATAAAAGGACTGGATCCAAAGAGAGTCATCTCAGAGACACAACTGATTCCTGCAACAGCAAATCAGGAAAAGCAAGGTATGAAAGTGCTTACTTTTGCAGAAGTGCTTCTCAAGTGGTCTGTAGAACTACTTCTTTTGTTGCTGATGTTAAAAGTCACCTAAAGATGTCATTTACTCACCCTCAAGTTGTTACAAACCTGTAAGAGTTTCTTTCTTCTGTTGAACATAAAAGAAGGTATTTTGAAGAATGTGTGTAAACAAACAGTTGCTGGTAGCCTTTGACTTCCATAATACGAAAAAAGAAATTACTATGCAAGTCAATGGCTACCATCAACTGTTTGGTTACCAATGTTTCTTTTGTGTTCAACATGATGATGACAAAATTTGAGTGATCTGTCCCTTTAAATATTTAAAAGTGACATTAAAGACATTTATAATGTTCTATTTTAAATGAAGGCTCTTCTTTTGAACATGCTATTCATCAAATAACCCATAAACATTTTAAGCAGCTGTTTTCAACATCTTAACGTTTAATTGAGCATCAGATCAGCATATTATAATAATTTCTTAATAATCATGTAACACTGAAGACTGGAGTAATGATTGTTGAATAAATTACAATTTAAAACGTTAAAGTTATTTTAAATTGTAACAAAATTTCATAATATTTCTTCTGTATTTTTGACTGAATAAATGCAGCTTTGTTTTCAAAAACATAAAAAACAATAACTAACACACTTTTTTTCCTGTATTTCCATTCATTAATTTAATTGATTAATTAATAATCCATTAACCAACACATCTATTTACCATAATATTAACCATAATTTATAATACGAATTACCAATACTAACATAATAGGAACACAATGGTCGGAAAACATTTCACCAGTGGTCAAAAATCACTATATCAAGTGATATACTATAAAAATCACTATATCACTATACGATCAAAAGTTCAAATAACCCTGACTAACCATTTTTTTGTTTTAACACAGTCTACTATGTATCAGACCAAACCACACTCATTACTGAGCTTTATATCATATCAGAAAAGACAACTGCAGGTATGAATATAATCATGACCACATTTAATCAACATTGAAAGTGATTCAGCAATATAAGACAATGCATGAAAAGAGTAAATATAAACGTAATGATTTATTTCAGAAGCTACTGACATCTACATGGAGGAAGCCGTTGCAGTGGTCCATAGTGAGGTATTGCCCAGTTCTGCATTTGCTGTCAATCCGTATTTTGTCTTGAGTATGTTGTAGGTAATTTATGTATGTATGTAAATGCATATTGATTTTATATGTTTTGGGCCTGAAAAAGGTGTTACATACATGCTGTGTCTCATTCTAGGATACAATGGAAACATTTGTCATAAATACTGTAAGAGTGGGGGCCATTGTCTTCATCCCGGGTTTAATCATTGCACTTCTATTCAGTAAGTATAGCAAGTAATTAAATTTAATGGTTTAGCTCTGGAGAAATATTAAATACTTGTAAAAAAATAAAAATAAAAAAAAAAACATAAAAAGCTCATGAAATCTCTCAAGAACATGTACAGATCACATTTCAATCTACACTCAAAAGAGAGTAGATAAGAAGTTATAATTAGCATAAGAAAATAAACTTCTTTTTTTTTGCAATTTGACATTATTTTGATGAAGCATAATTTTGAAAATTACATTTTGTATTGTCGAATAATATGTTGTAATACATTTTTTTTATTAAGGTCTCAATGGTCATTCTCATTGTCATTTAAAACATGAATGTACTATTATGTAATACACACTATAAAGCCATAGAAGAACCATTTTTGGTTCCACAAAGACCCATTCAGTCAAAGGTTCTTTAAAGAACCATCTCTTACCTTTTTATAATCTGAAGAACCTTCTTTCGCCACAAAGAACCTTTTGTGAAACAGAAAGGTTCTTCAGATGTTAACGGTTCTTTATGGAACCGTTTAGATAAAAAGGTTCTTATGGCATCGTGAAGCACCTTTATTTTTAAGAGTGTAGGGGGTGAAATATGCATCTTTGTCAGGTTGTCAAACCTCTGTACCCAACAATTATATATATATATATATATATATATATACACAGGGGGGTGAAATATGTGACCTTGTCAGGTTATCATGTTCACATATGTCATATTCACCCAAATAAACCTATACCCAACAATGTATAGTTTGAAAAGTGTATTGAACATTTTATTTAATGCATGAACATGAAACATTTGCTCATTCCATATGGCTGTGTGGAAACTTCTGCAGATCCTCGTGCTGCATAGTTTTAATTTGGCTCTCAGAATGTGCCTCCATGGCTGAGTGGAAGTGAAAGAGGTGACTCACGGCCCGTTTTGCTTACTGTGCATTAACGCGTCTATCTGAACGCTTTGCCCTCAGGACTGCGGCGCTCCAGAGAACACACCAGCTGCATGAGAATATAAAATCTAACAGCCTTCCTGGCCCAACAACCACACAAAGGGATATGGTGTGATAGTTCTGAGGTCACTATGACTGTGTAAAACCACATGCATGGTGACATGGATTTTTTTTTTTTTTTGTGGTTTGTTCTCAGTGTCTAATATTTATAAAATAATTGATCAGTTATTAATCTGAATCTGAGATAACTTATTTACATTATTGTGTTGTTGTTTTTTTCACTGTATAGGCTAGCCTATGAAATGTTTGTTACTTGTATCTTCATTTGTAAAGTCTTTTTGTAAAAAGCTTCCAAACTCTAATCTAATGTCATGCATCTCTTAGAAATCCATTACTAATGTCCAAACTCCACGTGGGATTAAAGTTTTGAGCGTTTGTCTGGAATTCTGATTTATGGTCTGTTTTATCATACAATAGCGGCCTCTAGTGTTCAATGAAGTTGCATAAAAAATGTCAACCTAAAAGTTTTAATAATGTACAAAAACTTAAATCTTAATAAACAAAAGCAAAAACTCGCGTGTGATGTTTAGTGGCGTGTGTTTTAATGTTAATATGTTTTCACAAGTCTCTCTTTCGTTTTTTGAAGTTGACCACAGAGTAGTAGGTCACATCTGGAAGTGAAACTCTAAAAAAGAAGTCTGACTGCACATTTAAGAAAAGCTGAGAAAGTGTCATGTGCATGTTGACTTCCGCACAAAGGGTTATCATGTAAGAAGAGAGATGAGGTTGTCTTGAGCATTACTTGCAGAGAGGGAGAAACCTTTTCATCATGAATGATCTTCACAGCTGGTTCTTTGCATCCTGGGTTCTCTGTTATCTCACAAGTGAGTTTCAGATTTATACTGAAATGTGGTTACAACCAGTAATTTGTGAAAGTGAGGAAAAAGATTTCAAATGAATATTTTAAAATATGTTTTATTTATGTACAGTAGTATTTAATTATGCAGTAACCCCTAAAATCATTTTATGCGAACAAGGCACGTTATCTAGAATTTTGTAGGCTATGTTAACTTCAGAAATGTTTGATATAGATTTTATGATGTAAATATAAAATTCAAGGTTAGTAAAAAAAACAAAAAAAAACAAGCTCTGTCTCTCTCTCTCAGTTTCAAAATGCAGCGACGTCATTGTACAGAGTTTCGAGGGTGAGCGTGTCGTTTTGCCATGCAAATATGACAGCAAATATCATGGAAAATGTCACATATGCTGGACGATAGGAGACATTCCCAATATGGGTTGTGGTAATGAAATTATTGGAAGTGATGGAGACAAAGTGGTGAGGAAAATATCATCCAGATACCAGCTGGCGGGAGAAATACAGCATGGAGACGTGTCTCTGACCATCTTAAACATTGAAAAAAAAGACTCTGGCAAATATGGATGCCGCATACATGTGCCTGGACTGTTTAATGATGAGATGTATTACGTCCACTTGATTGTTAATGACGGTAAGTGTTGAAAGCATAGCTTTCCAATGCCAAAACACTTGAAATGACTAAATCCAGTGATTTAATTGTTTACAACAATCATTCTGCTAGTCTACTACTCCTATTTAATTTTATTATTTATTTATTTTTAAATTTTGGGGTTAGTAGAACGTTTTTTTTTATATATATAAATACTTTTTTCAGCAAGGATAAATACAATTTTAAATTGTAGTAATATTTCACAACATAACTGTTTGTATTGTATTTTTGATCAAATTAATGCTCTTACTGACCCCAGCCTTTTGAACGGTACAGTGTAGATGTAGAAAACGTTTAAAAAAAAAAAAAACAAGATATAAAAAAAGTAGTACAGTTTTACATTGGAATACACTTTCTTCAAAGCACTTATTCCAACAACATGGAAAACTACATCCATGTCGAGCAGCACATCTGAGCATGAACCTACAGGAGTTTTCAGCACTGCCATGACAGAGGGTACTTGTGTGTGTTTATATGTGATTTTATATTGTCTTTGTGAATCTGTCATGGCTGAATGATGAAAACATACCACACTAAAAACAAATCTAACCAAGTCTATAAAGAAGGTATTTTTGGTGATGATAATGAACAGATTAATAAAGACGCTATCTGCCATCATTCCGTCATCACAGATTAGATCACTGCTGAGTAAATTCAGTCCTGTCCGCCGTTTTCTTGCTCATGTGAGAGGGTGAACGTTTAAAAAGGAACATTGTACATCCTGTTTCAAAGCACCTGGTCCAACCACACCAGAGCCTTTGGTAACCACTATGTTATAACCTCTGAATCACAGACCACTGAAACTTCAGGAGGTATTTTGATTTTAACCCTGGTAGTGAATCTATAATGACTGAAGAAAAGCTTTCATTTCTGAATAACTGATTCAGTTCTCATTATCTGTAATCTATCATTATTAATAATGATCGATTTTGGCGAGTCAGAAGTATGCACTTGCATGTTGTACAAATATTTAGTCATTAAAGATCTCTGCTTTTTAAATTGGAAGAACATTATATGTGACATTATCCTTTTTTTGTAGTAGAAACAAACACAACACAAGAGAGTGCTTCATTCGCCTTTTCAACAAATCCTCCAAAGAGCAGCACTTTTGGACTGTGGCTCTCCGACACAACATACGGTACAAGACAGCAAATCATTTTATGATATTTATAATTGTGTGTAACGATTGTGTGTATTTGTGAATATGCTGACTGACCATTGTGTTTTCATTATAACAAAGAAACCTCATTTGATCATCGTGAATCATCCTCCATGGAAAAAAAAGATAGTGTGAGTATGTCACCACAATAGAAAGCCTCAGATGTTTTTGAAACATATTTGAAAGCATGATCATTTGATATCTTTATACTGATTTGTGTTTTAAGGTAAATACATCTGCGGTGATTGTGCCTGTCATCCTGTTACTGCTGGCTTTGATAGTCATTGCTGTCATTCTGATATGTGAGTCCAAAGTGCATTCGGACAATTCACATTTTTAAATCTCACAACAATATCCGTTGTGTTTATTAATTAGAAAATGAAACTGTGTTTATATTTTCAGTGAAGCAAAAGAAGAAAACCAGAGCTGCGGTAGACATGTAAGTCAATCCTGGAAGTGATTATTATACTGAATTTAGAAGGATTCAAAACATTAACTCCAAAATTATTTTGATTAAAAACAGATTTATAAATAAATCTAAATGATAAATAAAACGATGAAAACAAATGGGAATTTACTGTTGGCATGATACTGCTAAAATACCACCAATCATCATTTTACACATACTACCATTCAAATGTCAGGGGTCAGTAAGATTTTGTTATTATTATTATTATTATTATTCAGCAAGGATGCATTAAATTGATCAAAAGTGACAGTAAAGACTTTTACGTTGTTACAAAAAAAGTTCTGTTTCAAATAAATGCTGTTCTTTTGAACTTTCATGGTTTCCACAAAAATGTTAAACACAACTGTTTTCAACATTAATAGTAATTAAGAAATGTTTCTTGAGCAGTAAATCAGCATATTAATATAGTTTCTAAAGGATGTGACACTTAAGACAGGAGTAATGACTTTTTTTTTTAATTTGCCATCACTGAGATTAAATTGAATAAATTACAATTTAAAATATATTGCAATAGAAAAACTGTTATTTTAAATTCTAATATTTCACAATATTGCTGCTTTTACCAAGGCTGCATTTATTTGATCACAAATACAGTAAAAGACTTTCAAATACATTCAAAAAATCTTACTTACCCCAGTCTTTTGAACAGTAGTGTGTCTTATAATCTTGAAATTATTTAGGCAATAATATTGTGCATATTATCGTTAAAAACTAAATTAAGTGATGGGTGAAATGCATAGCAGCATCAAAGCAAGTATGATTCTTCCATTAGGTCACCTTATATGTCATGGGCATTGCTGGTCATTAAACAAAATGTTTCTCATAATTTTTCTCCCTCAGAACCCAGAACTCAGAGAACTCAGTCATCTACAGTAACTCCGGCAGCAGCGTGGGCCTGTACAACAGAGAGATGGCTGTGGAAAACATCTATCAAATACAAGCTGAAAATGAATATGAACAGTGGCATTAATTCACATTTACTATTTACCTTTAAGTTGATCAGTGTAGACTTCTTGTCTTCTGTTGTATTTACACTGTGTTTATAATAATGTGACAGCTATTGCTGATCAGAGGAATTATTGCTCTGGACTAACCTTACTCTGATGTCTAGCGGCTAACATACTGCAACACTATATCATTATTAAAACTAATCCAAGTTAACTAATCTACGTTTGAATGTTTTATTTACCACAAATGAGTTTTCGCACCACAGCTGTAAATTTCTCAACCTTTCACCACGTTTCACAGAGTTTACACCAATTCAGGGCTGCGAACGTGCTGACGTGGGTTCAGAGAAGTGATAAAACCGAATACAATAGAAACTAGATGATAAAGAACGTAATCAAAATTCAATAAGTTGATAAAAACAGTCAGATCAGTGTTGATATCACATTTTCCATTGATAATGACAGATAAAAATGTTCTTGAAAAAAAAAATCATATTTGTGATTCATATTTGCCAACAGTCATCATGCTGCTTCACACCTCTTATAACACTCATAGTTCACACCCAGAAAACTTCTTTCCACCATAACAGACCAAAAACTTTTGATTAACTACCATGCAATTTTTCAGAACTATGAAGAATTATGTTCTGCAATGTGTGTACATACAGAGGAAAAGATTTGTGCAAATCAGTAAAATCAATACATTTCGACCGATTTGAGCATACATTATTTCAGTTTAAAAGTTTGGGGTTAGTCAGATTTTGTAACATTTTTTGAAAGAAGTCTCTTATGCTCACAAGGCTGCATTTATTTGATCAAAATGCAGTAATATTGTTAAATATTATTACGATTTAAAATAATAAGGGTTTTCTATTTGAACATATTTTAAAACGTAATTTATTTTCGGCAGCCATTACTCCAGTCTTCAGTGTCACATGATCCTTCAGAAATCATTCTGCTGATTTGCTGCTCAAGAAACATGTATTGTTATCAGCGCTGAAAACAGTTATGCTGCTTATAATTTTAGTGGAATTTTTTTTCTTGGATTTCACATTAGATTTTTTCACAATATTTTGAAAGTACAAAATAATTCGAAATCTTTTGTAACATTACAGATGTCTTTACTTTCACTTGTGATCAATTTTAATGTGTCATAGCATTATAAAAAAGTATTAGCCTAATTCCTTTTTTTTTCATATAGCAGAAATAGTATGAGTAGTTTGCTCGTTTTAATTCGGCCAATACATTTTAGTAGGGGTGTAACGATTCACTCGTTTTATCGATGCATCGATTACAAACCCTGACGATGCAATGCATCGATCTTGAAACATGGATTTTGAATCGTGAATCGTCGATTTCGGACAGTAATCGATTTAAAACGCTAAGAATCGAATGAATCGCGATTTCTATAGCGATTCAATGCTTTCAAAATATATACACATTAAATGACTACAAGCAGGTATTAATGGAGACCTTGAACAGTGTTCGTGCCCTGCATCTCTCTTTCACGTGCTCCACTATTTACCACCTGTGACTGTCACAGGATTGCGCTCGCGCTCTGTTCGTCTCACTGACACATTTTTTGAGCAGCTGATGTGTGATCTCTCCTTAGTAGGCTACTCGTGGCCAGTAATGCTAAAGTGAAGTAGTTTTACTTTTCTGTAGTTTTTCAATGGCTCTCGGTCATACCGACGACATTACCTGAGCAGTCGAAGGCTGCGCATTTATTGCATGGACGGAGCAAAAATGTAAGTGTCTAAAGCATACGCACAGTTCCATTGAATGATAAATGTGTTTTAACAATGTCCTTAAACCGAATGTATGAAGGAATAACCACAGCATTAACAACAACCTTGAAAAAAGAGCGCGAGGTTTATCTGATAATCAGATGCATGAAAGTAGCGTTCGTTGCTATAGCAAACAGACATCAGGCGCGTTTTCTTTCAGAATCATCATTCGCCGATGGAGAGGAAAAGTTAAATACTATAGCATTTTATTTTATGAAAATGAGATAAAGAAGTTTTCGCACTGAAAGAGAAGTGATCTCGTGCTCAAAGAACTTAAGACGTGCCAGGCTATATCTGCAGCTAAACTGAATAAAAAGCAGAATGAACTGAAACGTTAAGACAATAAACACAATAAATAAATAAAATTTATGAATGATGCAGTGCTAATTGATATATAATTTAGTACAGTACAGAAACTATAAAGTATATTTTCTACATTATTCTGTGCAGAAAATTGAAATAATTGTGTATAGAAAACAATCATAAAATTGCCATTAGGAAAAAATTATAGATTACAAATGATTGATTATTGTCCAGCAGTGTATTTGATTTCTTATAGCAAATTCAAAGTAAGATAAGAAAATAATTCCTTGTAAAAAAAAAAAAAATCATAATAAAACATACATACATAAAATTATTGTATTTGACATTTCTGTCACTTCTGGAATGAAGGCCCTGGTGTGACAAAATGTTAGCCTATACATAATACTTTTAAAGCTCTTTTTTTTAAATCTTGGCTTACATAATTTCTACATATGCCATAGCATCATTAAACTAGCATCTAACAATGGACAAAAGTGGTTTTTTTTTCTGTAACCATATGGTTCTGTAACCATAAAGGCTGCTGTGTAATTTGCCCCCTGACTAAGCATTTAAAGAATTTAGGGGAAGCATTTGAATAATCCTGTGAATGCACTTAAAATAATGCAGAATCAAATCGAATCGAATCGAATTTAATTGTGAACCGAATCGATTCACTGACTACCCAAAGATTCACAGCCCTACATTTTAGCATTTGCTAAAAGATTTGTCAGACTGATTCATGAATCGTGAATCTTTTCACAGGAATCAAACAAACTGAAGTCGTGCTGTATATTTTGTTTTGTCGGCTTCATACGCAAGGGCAACTCAACAGAAAGACGTGTTTTCGTGATGTTATTTCTATCTCACCTTATTCAGTTCTGGTTCAAAATTCACAACTCTGCTCAAAATCAGATACGATCCTTTCTTGCTGTCGTGCTTATTGCTGTATTCATTAAAGAAAACTTAGCCATTCCAGGGAATTTACATGGATTCAATAGAGGTATTGTAGCTCATTTGAGAAACAATTTAATACTATTTGTAAGCCTTCTAGATAGTTTAGCCTAATGAATAATTAGCTGTATCTGCATTGCCACACAATCGTTATGTCACAATTCAGGCTCAAAATACCTGAACAGTCTAGCTGTTCCAGCTGAATAGTCTAACTCTGTCAGTGTTTGTTCAATATTTAGTCAGTTCCTTGAGTCTGATGATGAATTAGCTGGTTAATTCCTTACAAGTTCCAGCTGTGACTGCCTGAACATGTGTGGCACTTTGTTTACCAACAATAGCAAACACACGTGCCACTATGGACATTGTGTGTGCTGTGTGCAGGCCCACTGAATCATTCATGGAGCCTGTTTAAAGGCACGTAGCTAAGATATCCAGATAAAACACACACACAATGGCCCTGTTCTTCGCCGCATGACTCCACCTCCAGACGAGGACTGCAGATGGGTCAGTGGCCCTGTCCTTCTTGGAGATGTCACAGGCGCAGAGCTGGAGAACACAGCCACTCTTTCACATGCGCTCCTCTGCATAACCCTGGTGCCTCCCAGCACGAGGCAGTGTCGCCTGAACTCCACACTGGCTGTTCGGAATGGCTGCTCCTCCCTGGTTATCAGTACTACGCTGGATCCTCCTCCTCACCATTTCAGGCAAGAAACACACTATAAACTTAAAACATTATGTTAGTGTATTATGGGGGATTTACCTTATAACAGATGTAACAGAAAATACACTGCAAAAAAAATTTTTTTTTAATTGTTTTCCAGTAAAAATATTGATATATGATATACTATAAACAAAACTTACAAAACAGCATGAGATGTGATTGCTTTCAGATATTTTATAGAAAATACAACCTCAATACAATACAATTTATTTTTATAACCCCAGTGTGGTAACCCAGTTCATTTCTTATTTTAAGCGTAATCTGAAAATAAACTTAATTTAGGATATATTTATTAAAAGATAATTAACTATACACTGTAAAAAAATCTATTTAGATTTTTTTCATACTTATAAAATAAGAAAATAAAAGATAAATAATAAATTAAAATAAATTAAAAAAAACAAAAGGATTTGACAAGATGGTTAAAAATCACACACACAGACAGACATGGGATGGATGGATGGATGGATAGATAGATAGATAGATAGAGAGATACCGGCTGCCAAACAAAAACAATAAAATTAAAGTAAAATATTGTAATTCAAACAAGGAAAAATTTGTAAAATAACCGTTTTTTCTGTAAAACCTTTAATGACAATTTCTGTAAAATTATTGTTTTTGCACTTTATTTCAGTTAACATATTTTACTGTAATTTTACGGGTTTTTGTTAGGCAGTCGTAGCTGCCAGTCGTTTGACCATTTTTTTACAGTGTAGATAGATTTTATGTAAAGAAATCTTCTATTCTGTTCTTATTATCTTGTTCTTTGGATTTAAGATGTTTTAATGGAAAACAAGTCAAAAACACTTATGAAAAATTATATTTAATTTATAGAAATGTTTGTTTTTGACTCATTTTATCTAAAGCAAATTTTATAATTTTTTATATATTTTTTACTAGTTCATTATATAAACTAATGCAATGTATTCGCTTTCCTTTCTACAGGAACCTTTTTTTGCTTTTTTTTGGGGGGGAATTTGTAATTCATTACATGAACTAATAAAGTGTATCCACATTCATGTCCAAAGGAACCTCTGAGATGTTGTTAAAATGTTTCCATGCAGCTCATGGGTCCTCCGTGTTGGCGTTTCTCGTGACGGAGGGCAGCACAGTGATTTTGTCGTGTCATTACTCAGTGAAGCACCACGGCTCGAGCCACGTCTGCTGGGGACGGGATTGTGGAACGTTCTGGTGCAACAACATCATCATACAAACAGATGAGTATGGCGTCATCTCCAAAGTCTCCGACAGGTACAAGCTCATCGGAGACGTCCTGTCAGGACAAATGGACCTGGGGATCCAAAAAATACAGAAGACGGACAGCGGGCCGTACTGCTGTAGAGTGGACATAGAAGGGTTTTTCAATGATAAGAAGGTGTCCTACACGTTGAGGGTCATGAAAGGCAAGTCATGCAGATGCTTTAAAGTTGGATCAAATTTGGAAAGCTTTGTATTTTAATAAATCTTCATGTATTTTCGTTTTTGAAGCTCCAACAACCACGACCCCGATTATTACAGAACCACTGGAGACACAGACAGGTGAGGTGCATTAAGGCAAAAGTTATTTCAAAAGTTATTGAAATATGCATATGCATTTCCAGAACAGAAATCTAAACATTGATAAAGCCAGGTTCAATATAGATGGTCCAGAATATAGAGTTTGGTGTATGTAAGTGAAGACTTCTTGTTTTAGAGCAGGAAAAAAGCTAAATTTGAGAACACTACATTTAAAAATGTATTGTAATTGAATTCCAAAGACATATATAGATAAAGTATAATAAAATAAACACTTCAGTGTGTATTGAGTGCAGTCTGAAAGAACTCAAGTTATGTGAGCAAAATAGCCCAGATCTCAAAATTGAAAAATTATGGTTTTGCTTATAGTGTCTTTCCTTAGAAATCATTTCTGCTGACTGCTTTTAACAGCTAATTCCTTTATACATCATTTGCATCAGTGTCATGCAAGTTTTCTTTCCTAGACCATTGGTTTTACCATTCAGTCAAACCACAATATATGATGAATCACCAGTTGCATTTCAGTTGCACTTGTACAAAGTCTTACCGTGTCATGAGAGACCACATAGAGCAATAACTCAAATGTCAGAGACCCTTGTGGGTAGATAATGGTTCTCACGCATCAGCCGGCATGAGTAGCAAAAGCGATTTCCTGAGTTTCGCTCTGAATTTCCTAGTGTCTTCACTCTCAGATCAGTCCAGAGGAGCAGACTCATCATTCTCTGACATTTCCTGGCAGAATGTCACCCATGTGCATTCTGGGGCTATGGTGAGTTACTGCTGCTCATACACAGTATATGGAAAATGAACATATCACTGTTAAGATTCTAATGAAACTTCCTCTATACACAATTATCATTTTAGTCAATGTAATTATCAATTACAGTAGTCAATTCAATAATAAATACAGCTGTTTAAATCACTGCTCTCCCATGTTAAAAAATATTGATTATGTATTATTATACATAATTAAGAATATTTAAGAATACTGTGAGTAATGTTATGAGCAAGCTTATGAGTCATTGAGTCATTGTATCTTGCAACATATAACTGCCAGCATGCTGTATAAAGTTTGTTACATCTCACTTATCTATCACTTATATACAAACTATTTTAAAAGTTTGGGATCAGTAAGATTAAAAAAAAAAAATAATGTAATACCTTTATTCAGGATGCATTAAATTGACCAAAATGTTCAGTAAAGACAATGTTACAGACAATTTCTTTCAAATAAATGCAGTTTTTCTTTAACTTTCTATTCATCAAACAAAATTGATACAAAATTGATTGATTTTTAACATTGATAATAATTAAAAATTATTATTATCATTGATTTCTGAGGGATCATGTGTCACTGTAAGCTAATGATGTAAGCTAATGATGAAAACTATCAAGCATAGTGACACACATAGTTCAACCAACCAATAATGGTAATTCATATAGGCTACTTAAAACAAACAAAAACACAAACCTTTTAATCTTTAAACAGCCCTGAAGATCAATGATTCATCTATTCTTAGAGTGTTCCTTAAAAACACAAATTAAAACTGCTAAAGTAGAAACTTACTTGGTTCAGTGCAGTATACAAATTGCTTAATAGTGCTTTATGGTGTAAAAATTAATTGCCAGAATCCCCCAGTATTTAGGGCTTTAACGCAGATGACCAGCATGTTTAGAAGGAAGAGCAGGTAGAATATTGTAATAATAATTTGTATTATTATTTTAACATAAATAAGGAAATGGACATTTTCCAGTATGTTTGTTAGGCTATATTTTGTAATAGATTTTTGGTAATACGTCCTGGAATACATTAGACAAGAGTCAACATTGTGCTTTACATGCCTCAAAAGGTGTTTTTACATTTTAGCCAATTAAAATGAATATCATTGCATTAGATCAAATCGAATCAAGTGGAATCTGCAAGCAAATGATGCTAGAGCTTTACTCAGAAATAACTCTGAGCTATTCTTAATTAAATAAATAAATAATTACTTTGAAACAGCTATGAATGTCAGGATCACACAGGTGTGTAGAGCATCCACAGTTGTAGCGCATCACATTTCATTAAATTTACATGTTCCCAAATATTTTGGGTGCCACTGCACATATTAAACATCTTGAAACGTCTTTATGCTTTCTTGCTAAAATTTTTTTTTAAATAAACAACTAATAATTACGTGAACAAATTGAGTGCTGTGTTAAATGTTTTTTTTTTGTAAAATATATTAAATTAATTTATTTTATTTTATTTATTTAATTTTTACATTGTTTTAGTGCTTGTGAGAATCTCCTGCTCTCAGCTCATGAGCGCTTATGATATCACAGAGGAGTTTTAGAACGTTGCGCGGGACTATATAAAGCGCGAGACTCGCCTGCTTACTTTGTGGCGAGTAAGGAGTATTGTTATCAACGGTGTTTACAGTGTGTATTCAGTTGTTGATAGCGTTTTATTTTGTCGAGTATGGGACAGCGACAATCTCGCAGAGAGAAAGCGGAGGGTGGTGAGTGTGTGCACGGGGTCAATCCCGGTACATTGCTTACACTCACCGACCACAAGGCGGAGGTCCATCCTCGTTCCGACGAGACGCCTGTGTGTGTTGGTGAGGGAGGCGGCCGGGAGAGACAGGAGAAATGGAGAGACGAGAAGAAGAGGAAGAACAAGAGGTTTCGGAGGTTTGCCTCTTTCTTCTGTTGTATGTCTCGTCCCAAATCCACCAGAGCTCAGGATGAGCAGGTGGAGCAGGGTGAGGTGGACCAGGACACTGACGAGGCCCCATCCAGGAGGTGTACTGATGGTAAAAGACCAGCTCTGAACATCAAAAAGTCTCTTAATCATTTACACACAATGTAAAAATCACAATCACACATTATAAAAATGCAGACCAATTACTTTATTCCACAACATGTGATAAAAGTTTGAATATAGAAAGCAATATTTTGAAGAAGTTTAATATTTTCAAGATTTAAAGTAGTCAAATGTTCCTCTAAATGAAAAATGTATACGAGTATGCAATATTTTATTGTTGCCATTTAATTAAAACAAGCTTTTGGTTGATATTCCCCTCTTCAGATCAGACTTCTCTACAGGACGTCATCTGCTCTGTAGAGGAGAATGATCATCAGGAGCCTTCTGCCAGTGCTCCTGAAGTGTCTGATGGACACTGATATCTGGTCCCAGCCAGGCTTCTCCAATGGTGAGATCGTCATTTCAACAATTTGTAATTAGACAAAACAGCTTTATAAAAGAAGTCCTTATATATAATTCAGGAATCTTTTTCATTTTTCAGCTTAGAAAGTGTAAAGTTAAAGGTAATAATCAGACATCTATTTTTCTGCATAGAATGCTGCCGTTTTATCCGAGGATGTCTGAAGAGCGACCCGGGAAAGAGGCTTCATTTGGAGGAGATGCTCTCCCATGACTGGTTTAAAGTACTGTGTCAAAGACAAGCTAAAATTATTTTAAAGATATAGTGTTTGTTTAGTTTGGCATCTTGATGGTCTAGTTTATTTTAATATGGACATCAGCTAACTTTCAATACCTGCAGTAACTCGTATAGTCAATCTTCATACATTGCATAGACAAAAAGCTGCTTATTTTTAAACCTTATGATATCGGTTTGTCTAATTTTTACAAGTTGTAATTGTATAATTTGTAATTGTGTTTCAGGTCCCCCTGTAAGTCATGGAGGACAGGGTCAGCCTTGCGTCTGGCGGGCTGACATGGGTGACCCCTCCATCCCTCCAGTCTTAGCGTCTTGCGGGGCTGGCAGGCCTTGGTAGCGTCTGGCGCCTTGGCTTGAGGCAGCAGTTTTAGCATCTTGCGGAACTACTCGCCTAGGGATGTGAATTGTAAATAGTTCATTTAGTTTTAGTTAGTAAGTTAGTTAAGTACAGCACCATCCAATCATATTTCTAAAAATGGAGTCACCTAGAGCTTCCCAGAGCTCCCTGTCAAGCCTGTCCCACAAATTCCTGGCACTGCTGCCATAGAAGTTCCTGCCACTCACATGGCGACAGAGCTCAGTTTCTCAGCCACCTTGGGCCCAATGATCCTGTCAGGGCCACTGCAGAAATCCTTGTTAAGGCCACTGTCACTGCCTCTCCAAAACCTGCTGAGGTCAGAGAGAACCGAATAAAAGGCACCACAGAGGTCACTCGACATGGTACCCTTTCAGAGCTGCCCTGGTCCCACAGCTTCTTGTCCAGGCTTGAAGGTTTCTGCTGCTGCAACCCCAGAGCCTGCAATGGGTTCAGAGCTCTGTCTCATAACAGCTGAAGTTGGAAAGCTTCCCGTCATGTGTGCCATGAAGTTTCCTCCCATGATGGTGTTGAGATTCATTCCACGGCTGCCAAAAAACCTCCAGCCAAACAGCCTCAATCTTTCTTGTCATAACCTCAGCCAGAGCTAAAGCTGCTCCAGTCCCAGAGCTCCTCTCTCAACCTCCCTGGTCCCAGAGGTTCCTGCTAAAGCTGCTCTGGCCCTAGTGGTTTCTGTCTTGACTGCATCAGAAGATCCTCTTACAGCCCCAGTGTTTCCTGTCACTGGTGTGATTCCTCCATAAATATAGTACACCTTTGTGCCACATTAAAACACATTTGTGAAAATAAACAAAAAATGTTATTTTATTAGGAAAACATGATAATCTGGAAATACTAAAAATTCCGATTATGCTTCAATTCTAGAGAGGTTAAGCCTCTCGTTTTACCAGTTTTTATTTATCACAGTGAATGTTTGATAAACTCACCAGGTAAGTAATGCCCGGTAAGTAACATCTCAATAAAGCAATAAGCCCTAAGAAGCCGTGGTTTACAGTGAATTTATAACGGCTAAGGGGCGTTTTAGGCACTACGTGGAGCGGGGCTTATTGCTTTTATAAAATGGTTATTCCATATATGTAGCAATGTTTCATAAAAACATTCTTTCGACAAACAATGTAATTCCTC